GTGGGGGGGGGGTTTAGCCTAACCCACGACAATGACACATCTTTCTTCTGTGGCAATATTTTAGTATCTTAGCTATTAGTGTTATCCTTGAAACAGGTTAAACTGGACACAGGCTGGGCTTTCACGTGCACTCCGTTGGCTGTACTTGACCAGTTCTTTATAGCTAAATCATAAATCCTGGATGCCAATATGAGATAAGTAACTACAAAAAGAAAGTGGACTGTTAAAGAATGCAAAAATTCACTATAGTGGGGACTAGTCTGCATAAGATTGCATGCTCTCGTGTCCATATATCAAGAAAGGTTGAAAATTAAGTTTAGGCTGGACTCTTCTGGAGAAGGAATGAATGGTGGTAAGAAGTCCACCAGAAATTACAATTATCTGTAGTTTTTTTAAAACAGTCATTGCAGTGTGCAGCTGACTTCTAAAGTGGAACTGATAGGGTGGCCTTCCAGCAACTTTTGTCTCCATGAATGCATAAAGACAGGTAGTTATATGCAACTGATGCTTCATTCAAAGTCCTCCAAGACATTCCTCTTCCTGAAGGCAAGAAAATTGAAAAAAGGTTTCCGCCACTCATATATAACACATCAGTGAATTGGCCCTGGCTGCCTAAAACAAAACACAGCCCAAACTACTCAAAGACGTGAGCCTTTGCTCCATCTCACCTCTAAACTGCACGTTTGCATAAGAAGAGAGGATAGGTGTCGTATCTTCCTTGAAAAATCATTATTTTCATTCTTCCATATAATGTAGGTAATTCTGAAAATGCCAGGTATGCACTCACTCCACAAGGATAATGTTAGTTCAGTGAAGTAAGTTTTTGTGGAAAATCACTTTCCTCCAGACCAGCATGCAAGCATCCTGCCCAAATATCACTACATCTGTGGAAAAGCTGTTCTTCCATAAGGTGAAAGAATGTCTGACACAGCCAGAGAAATGCACTGGATGGGAAGATGAAGTTAGTGAATGTAAAAGGAAAAAAAAAATGCAAAGTGTAATAGTTAATATTTAGCAAAAATGTTCTTTGAGGTTTATGAATACTCGGCATCAGCTACAGCCAAGCAAAAGAAAATGTCTAGTTGTAGTGTTTTTAATTCTGGGCCAAGAAGTAGACTACTGTGGTATTTTGGAAGGCTAAACCATTTTGATACCAGCTTTGCCATTTACAGATGTTTGTGGAATATGAATATACAAATTCCTGACAAGATGGCAGGTATTTTCTTTTGTCAGCTTCAGAACTGACTAGACAGTCTCGGAGGCCTAATGAAAGCGATTCCAGATTGTGAGTGTGACTGACAGTCTTTAAACATCAGTTCCTCAAGAGATCAACTCCAGTGAAGTATTAAATTTAGGACTGAAACAGCTGCTAATACTTGGATCTTCCCTTCCCTCCAATCTCTTTTTCCCCACCAAGATCAGTAAAAGTAGATAATTTACCACCTATAAAACAGAAGTTACTGGTCTTAAACCTTATCTGTCCAGACAGTTGACATATTTGCAGAAGGGGGATGGGCAGGATGAAGGTTGCTTTAAACAAAACAACAACAGTAACTTGAAAAAGGTAAATACATCCTTCAGAAGGGGGACTAAGACTGCACAGCTGTTGTAGCTGCCCTTGCACCCCCTCTTCATGTTAAGGGGATAACAAGGAGTGGGGATGCTCTACAAACAAGGATGACTCACACATGTCCTAAAAATACCGAAATTTAAGTAGTACACTTTGGAATCATGTTTAAAAAAAAAACAAACTAAAAATGGTGTGCAGCTCCTAATATCACGCCCATCTCATGAAGGGTGAGAATACTTTTACGCAGTGAAAGTTTAATGAAGCAGGTATTTTTTATTTATTGGTTCTGCTTTCACTGTAGAAAACTGAAGTAAAAATAGGCCTGTTTGTCAACCCTAAGCAAACAACTGTAATTTTACTCACTGGACTGCTACCAGATCCTTGTATGGTGTGGGGCTGAGTTTATACTCTCAAAGTTTTAACTAAATTAGAGTGACTTTTACATGTACTACAGCAGCTATTGGAGCTAGCCATGAAGTCACACTGTTCGCACAAGTGCAGAACACTTAACATTTCATTTCAGATCAGAATGATCTTGGGTTGGAAAAAATACTCCCACAAACCTGTCCAACTTATTGCCCTTTTAAAATCTCTATAGTAAGTTCTCAGAAGTCAAAATGGCAACCATGTATTTCTGAAGTAGAGAAGGAAACATCTCAGAGACTACCCCTGACTCCCTGTAGTCAACTCATTTAAAAGAGACTACTCCCATAGACCAACAAAAAAATAGCTATTAGAAAAAAAAAAAATCCCATTATACACGTTGTAATTGAAAGGAGGACCTGGGGAAGTATATCAGTATCATCAGTACAAATCTAACTAGAACACATATTTTTACAGCTTTCATTTTCTGAACTACTTATTGATTATTCAGGTGGCTCTTTCAAAATCAGACTATCACATTTTCTTGAACAGTAATTCTCATTCACCACCATCTGCTTTATAAGTATGTCAGGCAGATTAGCTGCATGTTTCTGCTGTTAGTATTTGACATGTAATAAAGCTCAATAATCACTGCTTAGCATTTTCAGAAACAAGCTTAAAGCTTCTTTTTATACCATCAGTCTAATAACTGTATTTATAGATATAATTTTAAAAAAGTGAAATTTAAGTACCTTTCCTTAATTGACATTGTTTTGCTGGAATTATCAAGGACATCCTCAGTTATTTGTGCTTTGCTCTCTCCAAGGGAAAAGATCTCACAGGAATTCTTACTAAATCTGCCTTCCAGTTGTTCGGAGAGCTCCTGCAGTCTACAGGATGCTGCAGTTGCAGTTTGTGAAACTGTCTTCATTGCTGATGTGCTGGTGAGTTCAGAAGTAGGTTCACCGTGATCTGCCCATTCAGAAGAGAAGTGCTGAATTAGAGTTAGTGCTGTTGTCAAACATATTTTACGTTACTAACACTGAAGCAGCTAATTTGTTGGTTAACATTCAAATCGTATGCTATCCTAACAGAGAAAAAGTTTCTGGCTGACTTAGAGCACAAAGACTAATCGTGCAATATCATCTGCTGCATAGACTGGCCATTTGTGACTAAAGTTCACATGAAGCCACAGAATATCATGTTCAATATACAATTCTGATATTCATATGAATGAGGCTCAAACTGCTGCTCCTGTCATCAATACAACAGGAAAACAAATGGACAGATGAAAGTGAGAGGGGAACAAAGAGTAGGAGAAGAGAAGCAGACAAAATTTAAGTAAGAAATTAACTTATTGGTAAAGCAGTTTAATGCACAAGTAGCATACCAGGAGAACATTTACTAGCTTAATAAAGGTATTACTTTCTAGGAGGGTGTTGGGGGCTTTTTTTGGTTTTGTGTTTTTTTTTTTTTTCTAGCAGCAATTAAACCACAGGAAAAACCGCCTTGAAAGATAAAAGCACCATTACAGTTATCTTCAAGGAAATGTAAGTCATCTTCATTTTTGTTTTTGAAATTTTACAAGCACAACACCCCTCTGATACACGACTGCTCCTATTTTATCCCAGTCTCTGTCTCCCTGCAGTCACCAAAAGTTAATTGGACAGAATGGACATTGCTTTTGAGGAATACAGGCAGAACTATACATTCCTCTCTACATCTGCTCAAAGACCATTAAATTCAAAATAAATTAACTTCACAGGATGAAGACAAAAGTGCTTCTAGCAATACAGGGTACTATGGTCCTATACCCAATCATAATAAAACAGAAAACTAATTCAACATTCTTCTAAATTCAACAGAATAGAAGGCTTTATGCAACGACCAAATAGACTGATTATTTTCAAAGCACTTTATTTAAAGATGGGTGAGTTTACTTATTAAGTCTGAATTATGCTTTGTATATAGAAATGTAACTGCTCTGAAAATTACTTTTATTTTCTCTTCAGTGTGGTGATCAAATATAAAGTTTTGCAAAACTAGTTATCTGAAAATTATCCACTACTAGCTATATATGCACATATGTAGTTAATACATAACTATATATGCACAAGAAGACAACAATTAAGAGCAGACACTTGACTCAGAGCAGCAAGTTTAGCTTGTTCAGCATTTTGGAGGGCAGGGGCGAGGGCAAAAGAGGAAAGGATAAATCTTAACTTCAGCATATAATAACATTTCTTTCAAAGTAAGAAAATCTGAAATGGAGCTGTCTTTAAAGGCTGAAGAACTGAAAGAATAACAAAGAGAAAATTGTATTTGTAAAACATAAGATTTCACAGGTATTTCTCCACCTTTAAGCAGTGTTAAAAAAAAAAGGGAAAAATAACCAGCCTTGATAATGCTTGAGATGTTTAAAACTAGAGAAACATCATTGTTTGCAGAACAAGACTATGCCAAAAGCAAGTATATACTGCACCTCTTTGCAAAGTCTTGCTTTTCGTAACACTTTCCAAATCCCTCTTTTCTTTAATGTACTGGCCTTCTTTGACTTCCCATTTACCTTGCACGCGAGTATCAATTTCCTTCTGTTCAAAAGGCTGAAAAAGTGCTTGTGAACTAAACAGTTCCATACTGTCCTTCCTCAGGAAGCCGTATGTTGTCTCTTTATGGTAGTCTCCTGTTTTTTCAGGAACAGCAGGTTCCTCAAAGGAGCTGTACTTTGTAATTTCATTAGCTTCATGTGCTAGAAACCTCTTTCTCTCATCTTCATGCTTCTTTGATCCTCTGTTGCTTTCTAGTGGTTCCACTGAGGGCTGCCACTGTTCTGACTTCTGTGTGTGTTTTCCTGAAGAGTCCGAGTTTTCTGCTGAACAGTGGACTCTGGAATCAGCTTTAGTGGCAGTGCTCACACCTCCATCACTAGCTGGTTTCGCGTGCAGGTCTCCAGCGTACAGCGGAGAAAGGGCAGATGCCATTGTTGAAACCGATGTTGCAACTGCTGTTGACAGAGGAGTAATTTTTCCACTTTCGTTTTGTATCTACGAACAAAAAAAAAACCCCAAAGAAAAGGACTTAAAAGCTCTGAAATCATCAATTCCTGAACAGTCTAATCACATCAGTTCTTCAGAGGTGTGCTTCCGTATGAATATAGTGCTCTATAAATATAGACTAGAAACAGATAAGGAGAGACTAGGAACAGATAAGGAGGGCAACAATGCCCCCATAATTTGGCTGCAGATGGATTATTCCACCCAGGGAAGAAATGACTGCATGTGAACAGCAACATCTTTAGTAAGAGAGGGTTCATGTGTAGCATGCAACATGATGCTGTGTCAGGGCTCCATGAAAAGTTTCATTCTGATGTGGTACTGAGCAGCACTGAGGAAAGAAATTAGTTCAGGTTCCAGTCACTGGACGACATGCCATGTACCCAGGCTAATTCAGCAGGGCTAATAAGCTTTGGCACAGCTCTGCTCTGATATGCTTACGCAGCTTCCAGCTCTGGAGCTAGCTCAGCGCCAGAGACTCTGCTCCGTGCTATCCTACATAGGGCAGACCTTCCTGACACTTCTGCCACAGAAATCACCTTCACACAGGACTGTTAGTCTAAGACTTTTTCAAATATCAAACATCATCTGTCATGTACATATCTGAGCAAAGTATTTGAATCTAACAAGTATATTGAAAAACCCTCCAAATTTGCTTTGCTGGCCTCTACAGTGGAACAATTATCTTTTCTACTCTTCTCACATAATAATTTTACGAGGTTTTCCTAAAGACAGTTCAGATGCAAAATTTTCCTGAAATGCAGAGCTTGTTTTTGTCTTCTCCAAAGGAGACAAAAGCTATGAAAAAGACTGACAAACATTCCTTCGTACACATCAGGAAGAGTTTTTTTGTGTTTGGCTTTTTTTGTTGTTTTCTTAAACTGCAGGCTAGTAAACAGCATGCAAAAGGAACAGACAGAAATCACACCAGTAGGAGGAAACCAACTGAAAACTTAAAATGCACATGCAAATTCCATAAAGAATGGACAATACAGTCATTCATTAAACAAATCAGAAAGCAGAGCAAAGACTACTACACTAGCTCAAAGACTCCAAAGAAAGATTAGGAAAATAGTTACCAGTTTATTCTTTTTCCATTGCATCTATCAGAATTAGAAATTCAGAGATCAGGAAATGGATTTCAGCTTTAAATACAATATATTTACATTTGCAACACAACCTCTCGTTATCTATTTTGACATCTTTCTTTTGTTTCTTCCTAAAAAACCTGTAACTGCATCTCAAAACATCCCAACACTCCAAATGAACAGTTCACTATAGAAAGTCTTCTTGAAAACACACTCCCATTGAACTTGGTACAGAGTCAACTCTGGTTTCTTTTGCTAGATTCAGAAAGAGATGACAAAACATGCTTCCTCCGCATTTCCTTATAGAAGAGCAAGTTTGTTCTGTAAAAGTATGACAAACTAATGTGACTGTCATTGGCTTCCTTTCCATCTGCTTCAGCTTGATCACCTTCCTGGACCCCAAATAAGTTAGTGACACAATCATTAAAAAGTCCAGGTTGTGACAGCAGTTGGCATGTGGAAAATTAATGGAAAGAGGACTACGTAAGGTCTGGAAATCTTGCTAAAATAAATTTGCCAAATACTTGCTACTACTGCAGGCCTAAGTAGAGTAGGCATAAAGTACAATTATATATCTGTACAGCTTTGCACCAATACAGTTAGAGAAATCCTGCCTTCTCACTATTCTATTATTATAATATGGAAAATGTATAATCATGAATGAAGCATATAGAAAAGAGAAGGGTAGGAACTTTCTAACACAAATTGATCCAAATCCCTAGAAATATGACACATGTAGGAGCTATGCTTCATTGTTAAAGTGATTTATCTTAAAGCTGTAACACTAAGGGACTGATGTTTCTGCTATTGTGAACATCAGCTCTGAAAGACCACTGCTGGGCCACCTTACACTCAAACTTCACTAAAAAAACATTCCTTTGCAGTTCCAATTATATGAAGGATTCCAGAACAGGAAGCTCATTTCCACTGCACGTATTAAATAATTTCATTTTGATCATGGCTTTCTGAATTCCAAAAGTATTCTGCTTTTAGGGAAAAATATATATAAAAAAAAAAAAATCAATGCCCCCTCCCAGAGCAAAATGACAGAATATGTCCAAACTAATAATAGAAAAGTGCTTTCAGGAAAGAGTCTCTGAAAATATATCTAGAGCACAATGACATATGTCATGGTTTCTACCCCTTTGGTCAGGAATTTACTTCTAGAAGACATGCAATATTCTACCGGAAAAGACAGACACTGTGAAAGGTACATGATGCACTAATCCAGAAAATTATATACTCCTGAATTACTCTAAAAAGAAAATCACACCAATGAAGTTGAACATTTTAGAGGATGTTGTTCCTCAATGTCAGAAGACTGCTTCCTGACAAGCTTTTTCCTGTGAGTATGTCATGACCCCAGTGTGTAGCTCAGAGCAAAGAAAAGGCCAGCTGTTATGGCACCTTACACTGAAGCTGTTTTCTCCAATAAGCAGAAACAGATGAAAAAGAGCTAAGATTGCACTTACCTGCTCAACTTCTCCAAGAGTGACTGGCTGAGTCTGGTAACGAGCATTCATTCTCCTGTGCCTAATATCTCCTCGACTCCTTGTGGAAATGGCCCTGGATACTGGTTGAGACAGTTTGTTAAACAAAGCCATCTTTTCTGCCAAACTTAAGGTGGAAGAATCTGGTTCATCAGACTGATCTTGCCCCATCGCCTCTTTGGCTGCTCTTATCTCCTCCTTAGCTAAAATTTTGTGGTGTGCTGATGCCTGCAAGCTGAAGAACAGAACTGGAAATGAGTTTTGAAGAAGCTGATATGAAATTTTAAATCTCAACCTAACAGAAGCAGAAGAACTGCACATGAAGCACAATAGCCAATGTCATATAGCAGCCTAAGTGGTTATGCAGTGGTTCAACATTGGCATGATGAATTCTAATTCAACAGCTGAAGATTTAAAAAAAGTTAAATTTTCATTCACAAATTCATTTGATTAGGACACAACAAATTTTTAAAAGGGGAACTCAAGATTGAAGAGAGACTTCTTAGACCAATCTCTATACAGAATATAGAGCTATGGAGAGACATTTAAGATGCCTGCTGTAGAACAAACACGGGTCCTACAGTGCAATTTATGTAAAATTCAATTTTATTAGAAATTGCTTGTGGAGTAGATATGATAAAAACATTTCAAAGATGGATTTAAACTCCAAGTTAGTGCTGCTTTTAGGTTAGCATAAATTGTAATGCCTCATAATTTGAAGTGGAGCAGAATTCAGACTTTTATTTTGAGTCACCCGGGGTAACTCAACCAAAAGAATAGTTCTGAAACATATTTCATTAATTTTGAAGATTGTTTGACCAATGCTGAAGGCAGACACATTCATTCATAAAAGCTGTAATTGCATTTGTCTCTACAATAACATATTTTATTCACCTCTAGCTAGATTCAGTCACATGTATGGAATTAGTAGTATTGTCTTCCCCCCCCCGGCCCTGTCGTGGTCTTTGCTAAAATTCTCTCATTCAGAACAGGCAAACGGTATTCTGCAACTTTACCTATAGGTGGTGCAATTTCTTATCTTTCCTTTAATTTTGCAAGCTAAAAAAAAAATATATATGTAGAGACAGACAAAGAGGATATGTACTGCTTGTGAAATCAAGCATCCACCTTTGGTATTTTCATCTCAAGATAACTGTTCAAAAAAAAGTACAAGAGCAAAGAAGGTTCTGCTAGGTTTGCTCACATGCAAATTCGTTTCTTTCACAAAGGAGAATATGCTTCTAGAACAGGTAAGTGTGGTTAGAAAGGTCCTGAAAACAGACACTTGACAAAAAAAATGCTGCATTGTTTTATCATGCAAATATAAATGAAGCTGATGAATGTTCTAAATATTCTTGAAATGAGCATTGACTTGACACATTGAAAAGGCATTCAAGACTTTAAAGATGCATCTGCTATTGAGGTATTTTGTGCTCCATGTAACATGCATGTTTATCCCCCCCAGTACCTGATAGGTTGTACAGTGCTCTTAACTACAGTGGGACTAGGTACTCTTGTCACTACTGTGTGGGTATTCACAGAACGTGAAGCAGGGGTAGATTCACTTTAAAGAATTGCCAAGGAGGGAAAATTCACAAGGAGAGAGAAGAAAAAAGCATTAAGAAAAGCAATACATTAAGTGTTAACTACAGAAAAGACCAAAACAAAACAGAAAAAAAACAAATAGCAATGATTTTTAATTAACTGAGTTATCTGCTGTGGCCTTTGCAAGATAACTTCAAATACTTTGAAAGAACTAAAAACCTAGAGGAGCAAACAGGTTGTCTCTTGAAGTTACTTATTATCCATAACATAAGCTATCTTTCAGTAGATCATTAGGTGAACGTCCGTTCACCTTTATTTAATTTTCCCCAAAAGTGACTTTCCTTTCTTCAGGAAAATTTCCTGATGTATAACCAGAGTGCAAGAAATGCATTTCCAAAAGTACATTTGAGAATCCAGTGTAAAAGGTTTTCCCCAATACAAATACATTCCATAAGAAATTGTGCAGATCTCCCTCAGTGCAAAGTATCTTTTTCATTTGAGTTACAGACAAATGCTAAGATTAATCTCGTTTACCTAATCTACAGGTTCGTAAGCTTTCTGCCATATGACAGTCCATGCAAGTTATGTTTTCTAGTCCCTCTACTTCTAAAATGCAATTTCAATAGTTTCCCCTGTGGTTCTCAAGGAAGTTGGCCCTTAACAATAAATATTTTCCTCGCTTCAAAGTTAGAGCCAACATATGTACAAGACTTACGTAGCTGCAATGACCACTTCCTCACTGGTAATTGGTTGTGTGTGAGATCTGTCCTGCAAACGCCGCAGTCTTCTCTCTACTGCTGAACTTCTTGTAGGTGGTTTAGGAATATTTTTCATTTCAAATGATTTTTCCATTTCCTAAGAGGACATACGTCGTAATTAAAACCATGGAAGAAAAGTTCTAAACCAGTACTTTCTTCTTAGCTTTCTTGCATGCAAAGTAGTAAATTTCCCAAATGCTCATCTCTGAATTAGAAGCAGGATGTAATTGCACAGTAGACATCACAGAGTTAAAACTAACTATACATCTCTTCAAATGAAGTTCTTAGAGAAGTCTTTAGAGCAATAGGTTTACTGTGTAGGTAGGCAAGATGAAGTGAAAAAACGTTATGTAGCTTGGACTTGGTTAACTGCATTACACTTCATTCAAATGCAATTTGGGTTCTTCAGCATCTTCTATACAAACTGTTTAACTCAGTCTTTTATTAAGAAAATGTAATACTTACTCTAAAAAGCAGTCTCTTTGCAGCTACACTTAGTTTGGCTCGGTCATCCAATTTTTCTTCATCTACACAAAGTGGGGGGAAAAAAAAGAGGCTGAAAGTAAGGAATCAAGCTCATATTAAGTGCAAAGTGGTTTTTGACTAAATGATTTCTAAACTCCTCAAAAATTATGTTTTACTAAAACAAGAAGCACCACCAGCAAATAAGCTGGCTGTTGCTCCCTTTTAACAAGAGACTTACCATTAACCAAATTTTGTAAATATTACTTGTATTTATGTGTACTGCATCAGAGGGAAAATTCTTAACAGGATTAGAGAACAGAAGACTTGTCTTCAGGACATGTGTTCTCAAGTCATTCAAACAGCCTTTTATGAATGACCAAACTTATTATATCAGTCCATGATAATAGATGGACTAAAAAAAATAATTAAACTGAAAGACTGTCTTAAGGGTCAGTATTCATCCTGCTGTAATAGAACATCTGTTTTCTACTAGTTGACCACACAAGATGGTGTCTCCTGGAAGCTGGTCATTCTGATTGCCACTTTGTGTCCTCATTTTTCAGAGGCTCAACTGGTATCCTTAGGAGCTGAAATCAGCGCCCTCCAGATCCATGAGCCAGCATCTAAAAGCTGCAGAGAACATCAGCTTTCAAATAGCATAAGGCATTACATCTAAATTTAGCTACTCATGAGATTGCGTACTTAATTTGTGCCAGACTTGCTAAGAGTGACAAGAGGGAAAATGGCAGACTGAATTACATAATTTAATAACGAGCATCTTGCAAGTTCCTTAGCTAGAAAACACGTTACCGACATCAGTTTCACACTACAGTAAAGGCTTTTTAAGTTATTAGTCTTAGACCACTGATTAAAACGTGTATTTATTTTCCCCTCATCAATTATCTTATTTATTGTCTAAATCAGAGGAATAAAAAACCCACAAAAACCCTATGTTGAAAAGTGTCAAGCCATTCCCTCCCTTGCCTCACATACGAAGTTCAGTATCCACAGACAGACTTTTAGACCTAAATGAATTTAAAATCAAGTGTGTAGTAGACATGGCCCAAGGAAAGTGGTACTTCAAACACAGTATAAGTAGGTAATGATAGTTATTTTCAAGTGGACTTTGTTTGCATTATCAAACAGTTCTCCAGGTAAAACAGAACAAAACAAGACACATTCGCTCCCATTTCTGTCTTAGAAAGTAATATAGTAACATACCTTCAGCAGTTGGTACTTCTGCACTCAAAATCGACCTAGTGAAAAATTACCAAACAGAAAGAAGTTAAATGGAAACAAGACATCAAAAACTAAATTAAATAACCCATCTGAAGTAGCAGGACCTCAAAAGTCTTAAGAGTGGGAAAACTTTATCTACTTTTCAAGTTTCAATAGTTTCCACTTTACATCCTTTATTAAGGCAGAAAGGCAAGCAGTTGCAGCCAAACTTAAATACAGTAAAGGAAAACAATTTCCAATTCATCTTGCAGAAGATAAAAGTTTAAGATTTGCTGCCAGCTCTTTTAACATAAAATATATAGCTTTGGTTGTTTGCAAAAAAAGTAAATGATAAAGCAAAGTAGATGGTAAGGAAACTCTTTATATAAAAACAAAGGCATTCATCATTAGACAGAATCAGACAGCTATAATACTTTATGATGATTCACTGTTCACCATTTTACATGGGGGAGATTTGCAACCAATTAGTTCTGTCGGTGGTGTTTTGGCTTTTATTTTATAAGAAGCTATAACAAATACTTGATTGTTTTTAAAAAGAAACAATAACCTTGCAAAACATTTGTGCTAATAAACGAACAAAGTCTCTTCACAAGCTTGTTCATGTCTACCTGTACCAGAATGCTACGCAGAGCTACGTACGTGCCTACCTATCTGTCTCCTTTCGTTCTGCTGAAGTTATAGGTTGAGTTTTAAATCTCTCAGAAGTCTTTCTATTTTCACCAGGAGAAAAATAGCGCCTCGGCCTTCGTGGCCCTCTTTCACGGTCACCATTGGCAGACAAAGTGCTACCTGCCGTTGACATCTCAAACCGAGATTCGCTTTTAAATCACGATAGAAAGCGCATAGAAAAGAAAATAGAAGAGAGAAGTAAAGCACAGATGTAAGCTTCTCAACAATTCACTAGAGATCACTCTGCATGCTCCTCTGGTAACATGCACAGACGTACACATTCCAGCTACCCCACATCACAACTTGCACTAGCAAGCAGAAGCACAAAAGCGAGATTCAAACCATCTCAGCCTCCAGTACACACTGGTGAGAGCTAAGCTGTGTGCTTTAAGTGCCGAACACAACTGCCGTTGAGTGTGTGTAATTTTTGCCAAGGACGTGCAAGTTTCACACGAAAATACATCTGAAATGTCACCTACAGTTCCATTTTCTTGTTGGCATTAGCAGTCTCCAGAAAGACATTACGGAGCTGGGCAACAGAGATTTTTGTGTCAACCATGCCAATCTCACCATTTGATGCATTTGCTTCCGTGCCCTCCTTACTTTTAAAAGCTTCTAGCTTAGGAGCCACAGTATAGTCAGACATTGAGCGAGTCAGGACTTTATGCTTTGTTGTTGACACTTTCCAAACAGGAGCTTTTGCCTTGGCAGGCTGCGATACAGATCCACTCTGTATGTACATAACAGCTTCACTCCTTTCTATGTTCTCAGGGGCCTTAATCTGCTGCTCAGGAGCCTGCCTCTTATTGCACTCCAGCTCTCTCTGAACTTCTGAGTTAACTTTCAGCTTGCTTGTGAAAGAGGAACTCCCCACGGGGGTATCCAACTCTCCTCCAAAGAGGCCTTCATGGTTCTTCCCTTGCTTGCGAATCTCAGATGGCAAAATTGGTCTTCTGCCTTTAGAAGCCTGTTCACCCTCCAAGGAATCTCCTTCATCAGGCTTTGCTCCATGACCAAGTGTCTCTTTCTTTTCACTCTCTGATGCAGTGGTTGCTGACGGTTTTGTTAAGAGGTTAACGTTGTCTGGTAGGCGGAGGCTGCCAACAGAGACATTTGCTGGTTCTTCTGTTGCCATCAGCTGAGCCGTGTGAGCAATGCCAGCAGGCTGAATATAGCCATGAATTGGTTGGCGGACTGAACTGACAGGCTGATTTATGACCCTATCAAAGGCAGACGTTTCTATCTGAAGAGGCATGTAGTGGGCTGGCACTGGATGGGATTTTCTCTGAGATACTGTGTCTGTGACAAGTTCAGGGCTTCCACGAGCACTTTCCTCTTTCACCAGTTTCTCTCTAACTTTTACTCTTTAAGAAAGAAAAAGGATTAAAGCTGTGAACAGCAATACCCAATCTGGAAAGGAACAGACACCTACTGTGGGTACAGACAGCAACGTTGTATTAAAATAAAAAGCAATCAATGCATAAAAGAAAGCAATCTTATGATGCACTTATGATGCAACCCTTCCTCCCCCACCCCGAATCTTAGCAATAACATTGCTCGAAAACATTCAAGTGATTCACAGGCCCTTGAGCATGCATGACTTCTGAGAAGGTAACTGAGCAAGCTCTGAAAACGTACAGCATGTTCCCATGAGGTCACAACTTCATTTGTCAAACAGCACATACCTATAGTCTCAAACAAACAAGATGATCAAAACCGCTTTTTATATTATCAAAGTGTTGGGTTCAGCCTGAAATTGCAAATTCCATTGGCAATCATGTATGCGGCCAGGTTTCTGAAGATGTCTAAACACTGGGCAGCTTACATCATATCAAGATGCTGCTGCACTAGGGAAAGGGATGAAAATACACGTTATCTCCACCTAGCCCTTCAGACATTTTGCCAGACGCTTTTTCACTTGTGCTTTTGTGTATCATACAAGACATCTAAAATGTTACATGTAGTCTAACTTGTTTCAGTAAGTGAGAAAAAAATGTTGAAAGTGCAAGCCTTAAAGCCCAAAGTGAAACTATGGCATAGCTTTAGGTCTTCAGAGGGCTTGCGGGGGAGAAAAGGATTTTTTTAAAAACAAAACAAAACCCAGAACAGGCATTCTGTTTTAAAACATTTAATTACATTCTAACATGCAAAACTTTTGGGAACATTCCTAAAAGTTACATTACTTTAGTGTCATTTCTAGGAACACCTCTAGACTTGTGTAACATCCATGCAAAACAGTCATGTTCTTCCTTTGGACGCTTAATGCAACACCACTAAGGGAAGGCAAGCACGTGCAGCCGGAGGCAGCCTCTGCTCTATGACTACAACTGCAGGTGAGCTCTCCAGCAATTTTACAGTCACACTGAGCGCTCAGACAGCTTACAGGGCAAGCGTTTGTAAATATCGCATACACAGTACTAAAAGTGAAAGCCCTGTACTTCCTCCCCTCCCAAATTGGTATAAAAAAGGATTTTAATTCTAAGGAAGGAGAGAAACTCAAGTACAACAGGAGACTAGCTCTTTATTTGAAGGTAAGTAATCCAGTTCAAAGTATGTGCAATTCCAGGCTTGCTACCAACAGGCTTTTAGGAGTTCATATTATTAAAATAAAGCAAGATTTAGGAAAAAAAAAAGAGAAAAGGATTGGCTGAGAGAATAATTCAGAATATCTGAAGTTATCTGAAACACCAACCTTTCTAATATTTTGGTGTTTCTTTTCTCTGAGGATTGGTGCGCTTATCACGGAAACTTTTCAAAGTTACTTAAGCA